TATGGAGATAAAGTCCCTAGGTACAAAGATATGGAGCGGGGTGCAGTTTGCAAGCAGGGGGGATGGTCTATTGTGACAACTGCTCTAGTTGTGCTAAATCTGGCCTGACTCCAGGAGACATCACTTAGGAAAGTCTGTCTGCATGGCTTTGTTGTCTGGTTAATTGTATGTTTCTAGTAACTCATTATTATGGCATCCTGTGAAAGTGTTGGTCCATGGCTGATTGGGGCGAGGGTAGGAGTTGAAATTTAAAGCATGTCTGTCCAGTTACTTAGCAGACATACACTAAGTGCTTACCATGTGCCAGCAAATGCTCCACGTGCTTCATTCATATATATTAACTCTTAGCTGCCATGGCAATTCTGAGAGCTGGTGTCATTGGAGATCAGATCCACCCACCCCATCATACAGATGAGGACCTGATGGGTAGTCTGTCTGGGGTCACATAGTTTGTAAATGCCAGACTCCAGATTAAGGACCCTGACAGTCTGAGATTTTTTTTAATTGAGATATAATTGACATATAACACTATATTTCAGGTGTATAACATAATGACTCAATATTTGTATGTATTGCAAAATATCACCACATTAAGTCTAGTGAACATCTGTTACCACACATAGTCACAATCTTTTTTTCTTGTGATGAGAACTTTTAATATAGCAGTCTGCCTTTCAATTCCAAGGTCTTAGCCATAATAATTCTCCACAGCCGTTGGCATGTCTGCAAATGTGAGCAAGTGGTCTCTGTGTGCCTAGAGTGGTCTAGAAACCACAGGCCAAGGAATGTCTGGAGGTGGAAAGGGCAAGGAAGGGGCCTTCTCTAGAGTCTGAGGAGGGAGTGAGGCCTTGCTGACACCTTGGTTTCAGACTTCTGAGAGAGAGAGAGAGAGAGAGAGAGAGAGAAGGAGACAGACAGACAGAGACGGAGAAAGACAGAGACAGAGACCAACAAGTGTATCTGGACATAGAGTACCAGCCACAACACTTAAGATGGGGTTGGAGAGAGGAGAGGTGGCTCAGGCAGGCCTTGTGGGACCAGGAAGGACTTGGTACTTTTCTCTGAGGACAAAAGGGAGCCTTTACCAAAGACTAGAGTGGAGTATGACCTGAGCAGATTAGCATTTTATGAAGATTGACTGGAAGCTTTGTGATAAATGTTGAAAGACAAAAAATATGTTTAATTTTCTCTTATGGTTTTTCTTCCCAAGTCATCTTTGCCTCATTAACTGATGAGATCAAGGTGGCTAATCTAATCAGCCAGCCTGGTGAGGTTGACGCAAAACATAAAATGACATCAACTAACAAACTAATTAGGTCTTTGTGTGCCCACGTATTAATCTCACCCAATACCCACCCACATTTTCCAATTTTGTGGCATGAAGCTTATTTTATTAAAAAGTGCAAATCTTTGAAATCTTAACTATATATAAAACGAGAAAAGGACACAAAAATAGAGCAGTGATATAGAAGAAAGATTATATCTTTTTTTCCATTCGACACCCCAAATGCTGTGCCTACTGTTGTCCATGTAACATGATTTGCTGTCAGAAATCAGTATGGACCAATGCAAACTCAGTTTCATCTCTGCTGGATCCTATATGTCAGTGGGAAAGAACAGAGATTAGAAACAGCAACATAAAACCATAACTTTGATAAAAACAGTGAAGCAAGAACAAATGTTTTCCAGAAGGAAGGATAATTGTTGATGGCATTAAAGAAAAACAATGAAGAGAGTTTCCCATGGAATGTGTCACTGGACTGCCACAGTAAGGTTAGCTGGGGTGGTCGTGCAAGTATTTATATGTGTTGTAGGCATGTCCAACACAGGACAAGATCATTTGTGTGGATTTCTACCTGTCTCTTCTATTTCATTCACTTTATTCTACAACTTTTTCTAATACTTTGTTTTCCTATAATAACTGACAGCATATTTGTAGCAGATAATTGCCTTCATTCAAATACATCATGTCCAATTGCAGTTTAAGACTCATTTACTCTTAAAATTAAACTTTTTAAACAAACAAACATGACAGAAACAAACTCATAGACACAGAGAACAAATTGATGGTTGCCAGATGGGAGGGGGTTGGGGTACTGGGTGAAAAAGGTGAATGGACTAAGAAGTACAAATTGTTAGTTATAAAAACAATCATGGGGATGTAAAGTACAGCATAGGGAATATAGTCAATTATATTGTAATAACTATGTATGGTGTCAGATGGGTACTAAACTTATTGAGGAGATCACTTCATAGTTATAGATGTCTAATCACTGTTGTACACCTGAAACTAATATAATATTGAATGTCAACTGCAATTGAAAAAATTTTTTAATAAAATTGAAATTTTTATTGAAGAGTAATGCAAATAAAGAAAAATGAAAAAGTGGAAATATAGCTTGGTGGAATTTTATGGAGAAATACTTCTGTGTAACTACCTCCAAGATAAGAGATAAAATATTGCCAGCTAAAACAGGAAACACAGAACTCTAAGAAAACGGGGACAGGGTCCACCTAGAGCCCTCCATATATGTACCTATCCCAGTATCTACTATTGTCTCAAAAAGTAACCAACATTTTAAATAACATTGGCAATATCTGTATGCTTTTGACTTAACATAAATGGGACTAAGCAAAATGTATGGTTTGGTGTCTGGATTATTTCATTCAACGTTTTGATGTGTGGTTAATCCATGATGTTGTATGAAGCAGTTCATTTTTATTGCTGTCAAATATGCTTCTATATGAATTAATTAATAATCTATTCCACTTAATGTTAGGCATTTAGATGGTTTACAGTGTGGAAATATTGTGAGTTATGATATAAATAAGCATTCTTATTTATATCTTTGATGCACATAAGTACATTTTCCTGCTATGTATATGCCAAAGAATAAATACAGATTGAGTAGATACCAGTCAAAGTATTTCCAAAGTGAGTGCCCACCAGCAGTGACTGAGACATTCAGGTGCTCCAAACCATGCTTACACCCAGTCTATATGGTTTTAGTCACTCTGGAATATATTTTGTAGCATGATATTGTAGTTCTGTTTTGCATTTCTGGGATCATTAACGAGGTTGAACCTCTTTCTCTTTATTTATCAATCCACTTTTGACAGTTCTGTTAAAGTCTTCTATTCAATTGATTTGAAAGAGTTCTTTATAAACTCATTCCATGTTTTGTGTATGTATTGAAAATCTCTTCTTCTATATTGTGCTTCATCTTTTAAATGAACGAGTGACTCTATTTGATGAACAGAAGTTCTCATTTTTATGTAGTCCAATATTTCAATCTTCTCCTTTATGCTGAGTTATTTTTATGTTATATTAAAGATCTCTTCCTATTATAAGTTCTTAAACATTCTCTTCCATGTGGTCTTCCAGAAGCTTTATTGTTTTATATTTTAGAGATTTAAAAAATCTACTTATAATTAATTTGTGTAAGTGGTGTAAGGTAGGGGTCAAGATTAATTTTCCCCTTATGGACAGTCAGTTGACCTAGCCCCACTTATTGAAAAAAAACTTTATCCTTTGAACATGCACTTTAGTGCCATGTTTTTCAGAAAGCAGGTCAATATAGATGTTGATTTGTATCAGGATAATGTTCTGTTCTGTTGGTTTTTCTGTCTATCCTTGTGTCATGATCACAGTCTAAATAAATGTAGTCTCCTAATACATTTTGCTTTCTGGTTATGTACATCCTGAAAAATTATTATTCTTGAGATTTGTCTTGGGTATTTTTAGCCCTTTGATGTGTCTATATAATTTTAGAATCATCTTGTCATTTTTCATGTGCACGCATACATACACATACCTACTTGCTAGATTTTCATTGAAATAGCATTGCATTTATAAAGCATCTTGGAGATAATTAAGATTTTCTATACTTTTGAGTCTTCTAACCCATGAACATGACTATCCTATCTATATCTATATCTATATCTATATCTATATCTATATCTATATCTATATCTATATCTAGTATCTATGAATGTGTATTTGGGCAGAGGGCTTACACAGTTTTATTGGATTCTTTTCTTAGATATTTGATGTTTAATAGAAATATAAGTGGTAAAATATTTTTTGTTTTTAACCTTCAGTTGCTTGTGTTATTGTACAATACAATTGATTTTGGCATTTTGGCAATGCATCATGCATCTTGTGAAAATTCACCTCATCAAGTATTTGTAGAGTATTTGAGATTTCTCTGCAGACAAAATCAGGACACATAAATAATGATATTTGATGTGTCTTATTTATTGTTGTTGTTTACTGGTTAGGGAGCAGTCCAATGCTGCATAGAGTTGACAGTGGGCATTGATCTCAGTCTCAAGGTGAAAACTTTAAAAGATAATTTATGCTGCATCTTGTATACTCTGTCATATCAATGAAATTCTCTTTATTCTTAGTATACTAAGTATCATTTTTAATAACAAGCACTGATTTTTACTGAACATTTTAAATGTATCTAAGAAGATGATTATGGTGTTTTTTCTATATTCTATTAATGTGGTAGGTTACATCGGTTTTTAAATTTTAAACCAACTTTTCATTTAGAAAGTAAACTCCACTTGTTTGTGATATATTATTTTCCTTAAATGTGACTGGATTTGATTTGCAAATAATTTGCTTTTAATTTATACACCTATATTCATGAGAGATATTGGCCTGTAGTGTTCCTTCCTTTAATGTATTTGTAAAGTTTTGTTTCAGGGAGCTGCTGAACTCATTAACTAAAAGAGGAGAGTTCCCACTATTTTATGCTCTAGGAAAGTTACTGTAAAATTAGCTCTTTTCCTTAAATGTCTAGCAGAATTCATCCATGACTTCAGTAGGTGCTGAACTTTTTTGTTTGCTTTTAAATATGTTAGTGCTTTAATTAATTCTTTTTCTCCTATATCTAGCTTGCAGTCTTTAAGCATCTACCAGTTGTTGAAACAGATGCCCAGAGAAACAACTCAAAAGAGATTGAATCCCTGAATTTAGTCTCTCTGAGAATTTATGTTAAGAATGGCTTTAGATCTCAGAATCTCATGTCAAGGTGAACCATCCTGGAATGATCCTGGGTCAGAAAATCTAGAGCTTAATACTAGCCAAGGACCTCCTATCCAAGAGGGAGAGGGGATCTCTGGGTCCCCAAGCACTGAGCTCAGCTTATTGTCAAACAGCAATAACTTGTGTGCAAGGCAGGAACTGCAAAGACTCTATAAGTCATTTCACTCATGGCTGCAACCAGAAAAACACAGCAAGGATGAAATTATTTCTTGTTTGGTCCTGGAACAATTTATGATCAATAGGCACTGCAGTGAGAGGTCTACATTGAAGGAGAAATGGAATTCAAGTGGCAGAAACCTGGAGAAATTCATGGAAGACCTGAGTGATGATTGCATAAAGCCACCTGGCTTAGTAAGTAAAGGGGCAGAGGGGTAGAAGAAATAAGTAATGTCTGTTGGGGTTGCCTGGAAGTAGAGAAATAAGAGTTATTGTAGACTCAGTTATTAGTCCTTGCCAAGGAGAATTTTTACCATTCTAAGTAAGCAAGGAAAAAAAGTTTTATGTGCATATATTCAGTGGGACAAATGGGAGCCAACATATTGATTTAACTGATTTAAGCTGATGTGGTGGTAGGAGGGCTCACTAAGAAATTTCACAGTTGAGCAGAAACCTTAAGAAAGAGGAGAAATGTCTTAACAGGAGTTTGTTCTTTCCTCAGAAGGAACATCTTTTTTTTTTTTTTTTCATTAGGGAAGCCACACTAACTATAAGTCACCATGAAATTTAAGGCCAGCAGAGATAAAGGGCAGGACAGTGGGAGCACTCAGTAGAAAGATCTTGGGAAAGCCCGATGAGGACAGGTTTTTCATAAAGGCTTGTCACTCAACAGATCCAGATACAACAATGATAAGAGTTTGTTTACAGGTCCATGTCCACATGCGGGGACAGGAAGCCCTCTTTTCTGAGAATATGCCCTTAAGAGAAGTTATCATTCACTTCGCAAAACAGTTGTCAGCAGGCACCTCGGCAGCAGC